CAGAGAACAACAATGGTTCAAACCTTCAGCTCCACCGAACACCTACTATAGAATCGATAAGATTAATGAAGATGGTTCGTGTGAAGCATCGAAATGGAAATTCGAAGACTCTAGATTGGTGCAAACCAAGGAGGCTCTACCTTCAGTCCTGAAAGATATGCAAGAAGTCCAAGTGCGGCAGAAGAAGGACTCCAATGGGTTACCCACTTTTCAAATCGACTCACAGTCCTCCCTTGAGAAGTATTGGAAGGTCGATACAGATAAGTATGGATGGATCATCTCCGCTAATCTGGGCATCAAAAAAAAAATCCCTATTTTAGATTACTTTGCGAAGATTGGTCATGCCAGTGCTCTCCACTCGGAACCTCAGTCCCTACAAGCTGAGCTCTCCATGAACTGGCAACATAAGGTCTCAACCTTAAAATTGCCCTCTATATCCCCCAAATGGCTTCTGTTTTACATCCATCTTATCCTCATATTACTAGAAACTAAAGTGGGAGGTCTTCAATGGTTGCACTTGCATTCTTGCGTTCCTAATGCCATGTGGTGTTCCGAAAAAGCTATGGACATCACCACTGTCGAGCGCATCAGTCTGGCACCACACGTGGCAGCGCAGGACCCTCTCGGCCGCATCACGCCGGAGTTGGACCAACCTTGTCATGAACACACAAATGGAGCTTCCTTAGGCCGCTCTGGCCGAGTGCGCCAGCCATACCTCTCGCAAGCCCCTACGACAGGATAGGGCCTACGCGAGGCACATCTTACCTCCACCTTACGGGAGATGTCACCTCCCTTCGGTGGGCGTATCCCCGCTGAGCTACCAGTCCATAGTACGAAAGCTACTCGGTTGCAATCGCAGAGGTGGACCAGCCGAGGGCGTTTCTCGTTCGTTGTAGCATAGGGGGTACGCGCGGTAATACGCCCATTGGACCCACACACGAACTGACATCTTGGGGGGCTGAAGTCCCAAACGCGGCTCGTCGTCAGTCGGTTAGGACGCATCCCACTCACCACGCATACACCACTCTACGAGCACAAAAAGGGAACACACACACACAAATACACACGAAACGACACAACACAAACAATGTGACAACGCTCCTAGCCCCTTAGTAGCCGTCCAATAACTTTCCGACGAGGAAATCGGATAGGCGTCTCGTGCGAGGCTTAGTATAAAATCGCGCGGATGCAGGGCTAACTCATATCGACTCGCAATGCAAGCGTACGCAAGCGGTCGCAATAGTGGCGTACTATGTAGCACCCATGCTCGCGCGACCCCCATTAATCTTGAGGGTCGCATTCGACACTCAAGTGCCAGCTGACACGCGCCTTGAGGGTGAATCTCTCGACGCTGGACAACCGCCATGCGCGGTTGAAGACCACACCCCAAAACCCTGAGTCTATTGACCGTGTCGCGCTCGTGGTCTCGCCGCTTGACCCATAACCTTTTAATGCGAGAATCGGCGGGTGCTGCGCGTGAACTTACTATAAGATCGCGCGGACGCTGGACCTACATATACCATCTCACTATGCAGCTCTATGTGAGTATCTATGATGACGATGCATTATGTGGCGCCCATACCCAAACGGTCTTATTCTGAGCCATGGGGTCATTTCCGACGCTCAGGCGTTGGTTGAAGCGCGCGCTAAGGGGGGGGTAACCCCTTAGTGGGTGCAAAACCGACCTGAGAGCCTTACCGTCTTCTGCACCCTGAGGTGTCCCAAAGGGTGCGGGGTAAGACGGCCCCTAGGGCAGGAAGGAATTTAGAGCGGTGGTGAGTTGTCTGACGTATCACCAGCGACATGCTAACCCTTCCGCCCGGAACTTTATCGTTCCACCAAGGTAAATCGCAACAAAGAAAAGAAACAAGTACTTTTAACGCTTATCAAAGAAAAACCCTTTTAGTATTAGGCTAAGGACCGGGGGTCACCCTAGGCGAGGACCATCGTATTCCAAGCTCAGGGCTCACGTTCGACCAAGAATTCTTCGAGAAAAAAAGCGGGGGTCATGCCCTCCCTACTATTCACCCCAACCCTCGTTTGGGTCCTTAGTACGCGGGTACTTCAGGCCACGCTAATACCCCATGTAGGTACGCATACATATATATATATATAGGGGAATAGATATGTGACGATCACATCTCACAATCACCATGAGACTCCTCACAACCATATATATATGTGAGATCGCAGGCAGTCCGATCCAATAACTCGAGCCACAGTACATACCTGCAATCACATCCAGGAGTCAAGCAAAAATCCACACACTACACGGAGTCAACTCCGACCAATCTCCATACTAATACTCCTTGCTTTAGCCATGCAAGCCCCAACCTCCTGCCAACCATAATTAATTACTCAGTACTTTTGTTAAATGACCATTTAATAAAAGTCTGGGTGAAACCTTTAACAAACAAAAGGATCACCAGGGCTAAAGCCTTTTAGGTTGAGAATGGGGAGTGAGTAAGAATTGAGTCGTGGACCGACGAATCAGTTACCGACCTGTTATCAGTGATAACAGTGTTATCAGTGATAACAGAAGATGATCCTCAAGGGATCAGTTGACTCTAGCCCAAATCCGGAATCAGATCGATCAAACCGGCCTGTAACACAAAACAGGTCGATGCCCAAGACTAGACATGTAAGTTCTATGGGGAACACCCTCTATATCATCGTCTCACCCAAACTTCAGCTAGCCAACCAGATCTAAGTTTACTTCTAGTCAGTGCCCAAGGAAAAGGTAGACCTTTGGCTGGATCTCCTCTATACAGAGTGGACTGTCAAAACTTGTCACCTGTTAGAATGTAATATAACTCCTCTAAACTAAGGAAATTTCGGCAGCACTTCCCCTAGGAAAACTGCCTTTCAAGAATTTATACGGACCTGAATATGAAAACCAAAGTAGTCTTTGATTTCCCAAGTTCAAGTTTTGTCTAACTCCCTGGATTAGCAAAAATTCGGGCAACACTCCCTTTAGAAAGGGAGACTTCCCAGATTTCTACTAAGCCATATATGGGATTCAGACAAGTTGAACCTTGGAAAGTCAAACTTTGACTAACTCCTTGGATTTGTAGAAATTTCGGCAGCGCTTCCCGTAGGAAAAATGACTTACCAAGATTTATACAAGCCCAAGCATAAAAAAAAATCTCAGAAAATGCAGAAATTGATCTAAGTAAAAAAAAAGATTATCTCAGAAAATGCAGGAATTGAATCTAACTCCTATAGCTCTAGCACATGGCGAGCAACTACAACAACTACCTATCAACTCAAACTCTAACTAGGTAGTGATGCCACCCATTCACATGCAGGCCAAACCAGAAATGTAAGTACTCCCACCATCCAGGTTGATTTAGCAGACAATAGTTCATAGTCTTTAAGTGATTCAACCCTTTATACCTTGCTTACATAGGGCATTAGGACTGACCATTCGTCTTAGAAACAATGCCAGCCCTCTGCCTTAGTTATACACGAACAGGTTGCACAACTACTTTTCTCTTCATTGGGCATATGACTAAGCCATTCGTCTTAGAAACCATGCTTAGTCGCCCTGAACTTTTTAAATAGCCAAGTTATATATATTTCTCTGCACCTTAGTCTTCAAAAGAAGGGCGTAGGGTTGGGTCATTCATCTTGGAAACAATGCTTAGCCTGCCCTTGTTACCTTCAGTTATAACTCTTCATTATACTTTCTTCGTTTGTGATAGGGCTATAGTCAGACCATTCATCTTAGAAACAATGTCTGACTAGCCTTGTTTTCACATATGCATATATATATATATATACATATATAAAATTATAGAAAATTATATTCCTTTGTTCTCGTTATAATCTTGAAGCCTCAGACTTAGACCATTTGTCTTAGAAACAATGTCTAGTCCTTTGGCCTGAATCTTCCCTCAGAATGAAACAACCAAGGAGAGATGAGTCATTCGTCTTAGAAACAATGCTCAACTCTCCCTCTCTCAGCACATATATAAAAAAGCAAAGTACATTGGGTCTGACCCAAACACTGTTCAGAAACCACCTAAGTAAACAGCGGTCAGACCATTCATCTTAGAAACAATGTCTGACCCTTAAAAGTCAAGCAAACAATACCCCTAAGAAATAAGTAGCCAGACCATTCATCTTAGAAACAATGTCGGACACAATTAAAGAAACACAACAACCAAGCCATTCATCTTAGAAACAATGCTTGGTTCTTCAGAAAACAGAACAAAACACAGCAGTCAGGCCATTCATCTTAGAAACAATGCCTGACCCTATAAGACCCATTCAAGTGCAAGCAAAACTGCATTCCTCCCAGCCTTCCCCCAGATACACCCCTTTGTGACAATCTGCTTTCAGACAATCAAGAACTGAAACTGCCATTTTACAAGCATTCCTTTAGTTGGTCTGATTAGTGTCCTGAAAGTCAACTCAAAGTCAAAGTAAGGGTGGCATACAATGCAGTCAGCCAATACATAGGGAGAGGTATGGATAGGGGTTAGATTGGGTTTATAAAGGAAGCAATGGTTACCTCTGAGTTCCCTGCCTCCAGAACTCCTCCTGAGTTCCGGCAGGGCTCCCGCAATCGGTGGGGCAACCTCCCACAAAGGCCTTGGCGCGGATTACCGGTTGCAATCCCGCCTGCCGCCTTCCTCTCCAAACCAATAGACTAGACTGAGAGTGAGAAGGGCAGAAGAAGAAACATTAAGTCTCTAAGATACAAAAGGGGTGCACTCAGACTCGCATGAGAGGGCCTTGATGTCTTCTGCGTCTGAGGGCCCCGCAATGATGGCCAGATGTAACAACTTGGTCAACGAACTCAAACCGCCAAGGTAGCCCCCCTCCCCCGACGAGCCTCCAACCCGCAGTAGCAAGCTCCCTCCTGACTACTCCTCTAATCCCCAACACCCTGCATCAGTCCTTATGCGTAGCAGCAGAGCTCAGCGGCGGCCAACCGCCACAGCCGCAATCCCCAACAACAGCAACCCGCAATAGTCCTTAGCTGCAGCCGCATTCCTTAACGGCAACCTTTAGTAACATCAGTAGTAGTCAGCAATCGTAATCCTCAGCGGATCACCAACGACAACCTTCAGTGGCTCCGCAGCCATACACAGCGGGATGCACAATCCGCGGTCTACAGCAACAGATCCTAGTGTTGGCCGCCTCCTCTGCCGCCTCCTCTTGGCCAGAAATACCTGGGTCCAGAAATACCTTCCCCAACTTCTCTTGCCGAGATGTCTCTGCCGCCTCCTCTTGGCCAACAGCCCTTGCACCCCCTTGCCTTGGATGCCGTACCTGCTTTGCTCAGCCCAGTCGATCACCTTGGTAGCGACAAGTCTTTCCATTGCGGCCGCCATTTCCTTGAGCTTCGCCTCCCACTCAACCTTCTTTGCCTCCAGGCGAGTTTGCCAGGCCTTGTTCTCGGCCCTCTCCTTTGCGAGTTGGGCAGTCAGCTGTTCCATCTCCTCTTTCCTGAGGGTCAGCTCATCATTGAGTAGCGAGTACCTTTGAAAAGCCGTGATGGATGTCTGCTTTATCTCCTTGTCCACCCACTCGATGACCTTTCTAGTGGCCAAAAAACCCAGCTCCCCAACCTCTATCGCATCGTCTGCACCCTCAGTTGCCTGACCCGTCTCTTGTGCCCTCTGGCGAGCTGCCTCTCTCTGTCCCTCATATCTGGCCCACAACTCATCAATCCTCTGCTCACTCATCTTAGGGTCGACTGGTGGCATTGGCGCTATCCCTGCAGCCTCCATCCTGTCCCTTTGCTCATGTATCTCCGCAAGGCGAGCTCGTACCTTGGCACACTTTACCTGGGCGACTTCGTCTGGCTCCTTTCCTGTGCTTGCCTCCGTGACTTCCCCAGTCACAACTTGCGAGCCCTCCTTTAACTCAGTACATGCTGGCCCCGATGATGGCCCAACCAGGCTGGGCTCCTCAATGTCAGGGTGCTTAGCTGCATGCGAGGCTAAACGCGAATCAATGACTAGGCGGGGCTCAGCTCTCTACCCTTCTTCCGGTCCCCGTGCCTCATCCTCCTGCCTGGATGACATAGCGACTTTTGGTGGTGGTACTGGGGCCTCCTGGCTGTCTGGCTCCGGGACGCCCTCTGGCCAACACCGCCACGTCTGAACTCGAGCTGGGAAGTCAGGAGGAGTATCACCTTCCACCACAATAACATCTTCCGCCCCTACCCCCTTCAATCACAGTGGCTCTGCCATGGGCTCGGGGCGAATTCGCTCCTCTCCTGATGGGTCCATAGGGCTCACTCCCGCTGAGGAGGCCTCCCACTGGGACGCGTCCAGGTGGGCTTCCAGGCCTCTGAATGGTGTTGCCGGTCCCTCGCTCTCCTTCCGCCCTGGTGCCCGTGGCGAGGATCCTGGTAGGTCACCCTCCATGACTGGATGAAACTCCAACTGCCCGAGGCCACAAACAGGGAAGGACTCCCCCGCCCTAGTTAGTCCTACTTGTCCTTCTTCCCGTTGTGCCAAGGCTTTACGGTCGCCTCTCGACGCCACCGGCTCTCTTGCCTCCAAATCTCTTAACCTCTTGCTCCGCTGTCTTCTATCAACCCTAGGTTCTGGCCTCTCTGGTTCCGACCGTCAGAACGCCTCCCTCAACTGAGCCCGACAATCCTCCCAATCTCGTGCCCGACCCCGGATCTGCCTCACCAGCGGACGCTCCGCTCCTCTGGTCCAAATGAGAAGCGCCTGCACCGACTCATCCCGCGGAACCCCCTGATCGCTCATATACTGTTCGTATGCCGAGATGAACTCCTCTACTTTCTCTTCCTCCAAGCGGATAGGTAGCCCATTACTCCCCAAAGGTGAAGCTCTCAATCTCTGCATCCTTGCCTCTACCTCTGACCAGGTCAGGGCCTCCTCCCTGGTTTGCGCAATGGGCTCCTTGAACCTCCCAATTCCCCTCAAGTGACGTACCCTCTCAAACACGTCCCATCCTCTCTGGGCTGCATGCTCTCGGTAGGCGTCCAAGAAGAGCTCGATATTGTCGTCATCAAACACGGGTGTAGGCTCTCTCCTGAAGGGCCCATGCCGCTCCTCCCCTCCGGATGCCCCGAGAGGTCTCTGTCGTGGTCGTGTGCCCCGCCCGCCCCTCTTCATGACTGCCTTCAAAAAGTCAAACCTGCACATCAGGTGAAACGAAACAAACAGGCACACGACAGGGTCAGCATATGGGCTCAGCAGTCTTCAGAGCAAATATACACCCAATCTCAGAGACATCAAGCCTTTCTTCGCTTCCAATCATGGCATGCAATACTTAGGACGAGGGTCTACTCTGGGAGGGATCGCGGCTACTGGGAGGGATCGCGGCTTTACCTATTCCTTGGCCACAAACTTCTTTAGCCTTGTCCCGGATACCCAATCCTTCCATTCCGTCTCGTTTAGCTCTTCGATCTGGTATGCCCCAAATTCGTCGCATCGCACAATTCTATAAGGACCCATCCATCTCTTGTCGAGCTTCCTCAACCATTGCTTCTCCAGAGAGGAGTCGTACAGTAACACGACGTCCCCCACTGCCAACGGCTCTTTCCTTACGCGCGCCATCTGGTCCCACCTCATCTTATCCTCCATGCGGCTTCTCTCTACCTGACCAGCGGCCTCTCGGAATCTTTCCTCGGCCGCCCCCACTTGCCGCGCCCGAATATCGAGTAGTTCTTCGAAGGGCAGGTTCACTTCCAAGTCGTGGCGTCTCCACGTCTTCATAAAGCTTTCTATAGGAAAGGTGGCGTGCCTCCCGTACCATAGCGTGGCTGGCGCATACTTGGTAGTCCTCTTCACAGTAACGTTCTCCATGAAGAAAGCCGCTCACAGGAATTCCGGCCACTGACCAGGCTTGCCTTCTGTCCATTTAGCCAAGAGATTCGTGATGGTACTGTAACCCCTCTCCACAGGAGCGTTTGCTTGAGGGTGCACGGTCGTAGTATAGTTGGACACTACCCCATACCATGCAAGCAAGGTTCGCACCTCATTGCAGGTAAACTCCGATCCTCGATCCATCACGAACTCCTTGACGAAAGGATAGCGCAGGTAATAATCCTCGATGCAATTTGCCAAAACTGGGCCAGTCTTCGTCCGGATAGCCCGACCGTCCACAAACCCAGTAAGGTTATCCCGGGCATCGAAGATGTAATTGCACCCATTTTTCCCAACTGGCATAAACAACAGGTCCAGGTGTACAACCGCACCCACTTCCCTTTCCAACCTTGGTTGCAGGGGCTCTCCCAGCCTTTGCGCTGACCTCTCCTGGCAAGGTACACAGGAATGGCAGTACTTGATGATCATCGTCATCATTCCATCCCAATGGTAGAGCTCGCTTATCTTCGTGCATGTGGCACCTATCCCTCTGTGCCCTCCTGCTATACCATCGTGTAGGGCTGTTATGATATCAATTTGCTGGTTCCTCCCGCGTATGATCCTCTTGGGGTTCCCGACCTTCCGCTTTATAAACAGATGGCCATCTCTTACTACTTAGAGGTGCCTCATCTTCTGCGCTTTGGCACTTGCGTCTCTATCTCTCATCTCACATGATAGGAGCAATCCCAACTCCCGGTAGATCCCATCATACTCCTCCGCCCGAAACGCCTCCTTAATCTCCCCCTCTTTGAACTCATCGTCCTGGCTTTCAGGAATCAGGATTTCACTCTCCTCATGACTAAATGAGCCTCTCCGGTCGAAATTTCCTTGCAGGAGCGTATTAGTGAGCAGATACATCCCTCCCATTAGTTGTTCATGCTCCTCTACCTGAGTAGGGCCTTCTTCTATCGTCCTCACTTCCTCCACCAGACTGTGTGTACCTGTCAATGCCAACTTCATCATCCAGTCGACATTCTTTCTTCCCCACGGATCCTCCTCCTGAAAGGGCTTAAGGACTAAGTCGGCCTTCCGCTCATATCCTCTTGGTGCTATCCATATGAGATGGCTAACACGACTGGGTACTCACAGCGCCCACTTGTTTATATGGAGTCGCACGTCTTCTTCCTGATCCAGGAACCCGTCGACTGGCGGGGTGTCTTCGGTCGACTCCTGATCCATACTGTCCCAGTTGACGCGGCTCAGGCCATCAACTCTATTCTTATTTCTCGGGATCCTTTCCGGCTCGAAATTAAACATCCAAATGTACGTTAACCATCGGGCGACGGTTGGGTCAGATGGTGTATAATTCTTCAGGGAGCACGCAAGTGTCGTAGAGTCCACCCTTAATATAAATCTCCTGCCGAAGACGTAATTCCGGAAGATCCTTAGGCAATGGAGTACCGCAAGCATCTCTTTCTTAAACTGAGAGTAGTTCCTCTCAGTCGTGTTAAGAGTACGACTTTCGAATCTTAGCGGCCTCTCCTCTCCTTCGGCATCCGCCTGGATCAAAACCCCTCCCGATGCAGTTGGCCCAGCGTCTGTCTCGATGATAAATGACTTTTCTTCAGTCCCCTCATAGTTTGGCGCCCCCAGCACCAATCCTCCTTCCCTGAACCCTCCCTCCATCCTAGTCACCGCATCTTTCTGATCTGCACCCCAAACCCACTCCTGGTCCTGGCGCACCAGCTTCCTTAAATGCTCAGTCTTGGCGGCAAAGTCTTTCACGAAGCTCCTCCAAAATCCGCAGGTGCCAAGAAAGATTCTCACATCCGTTATGGACTGTAAAGGCACCGGCCATTCTAGGATTTTGTCTGTCTTCTTCACGTCCGGCTTCCGACCATTCTCGTTGCAGACAAACCCCAGGATGGTGACCTCTCTCATGCAGTGCTTGGACTTTGGTCCACTCGTAGTGAGGTTATACTCTTCCAGCAGGCCCAAGACTCGATCGAGATCCTGGATATGCCTCCAAACAAAACGCCTCACTCCGGGCTGCACCTCGTCCTCCTCTTTCTCCTTTGGCCCTTTGACCGCCAAGTCGTCGATATAGGGCTGAGTGATGTGCGGACTGACTGTTTGCATGGCCCTGATCATATGCCTTTGCACCATCGCCACCTCATTCGTCCAACCCTGAGGGGCCACATTCATGTGGATTAGCCCCTTTGGCTTGTGCATTGCCGTCACCGGCCTATCGGGCGGGTATACAGGAAATTGATCATACCCGGAATAGAGGTCTGTAAGTGAGATTATAGGCCTCCCTGCGCATGACTCTGACAGTGCATCTGCGTTCGGCAAGCCTCCTGCATCTCGCACCGTTACCGCATTTAGTCGTTGCAGATCCTGTACCCACCGTAGCGTCACGTTCGACTTAATAAAGCAGAACCAAGGGGAAGCATACGGACCGCTAGAGTAGCCGGCAACATGCGTGCGCATCTTGCCATCCATATAGTCCACCACCATCTTCTCCTCATCAGGGTTTGGGTATCGCGCACCTCTTAGGTTCCAGCCTCGTGGGGGACCGTATGGACCCGGATCATCAGGATCTTTTCCACATCCAGCCTCCCTCACTGGTCGTCATTAAAGGCGTACGCGCGATGCCTCTTCTTCATTAGCTGCACCATCAGCATCCTTTCCTGGGGCGAAAGAAACCCTGGCTCCCCGACCATTAACTTCTCTTCATTTCCATCATTGATACGGCATGGATCCCTCAGTATCTGCTCTTGCATTCGCCGTATCAATCCTCGCTCCCGCTCGTAATAAGCCTCTCCATCTTCCGTAACGAGCACGAGAACATGGCGGCACTTTTTATCTACCGTTTTGTACCGCCTTTGGGCGCACTGCTTAAGCCGTCCCCTAAAAAAGGCCGGCTTGTTGTTTGTGTTTGTGTCATCGCAGGCCCTTTTCTTCCTCCAGGAACTCGATAGATAAGTTTTACTTCTCCTGCCTGTGGGCATTCCAAAACATGCTCTCGCAAGGCCTTGATGGCCTCCGGGTCCGCCATCTCATGCGCTGCCTTGATCTCCATAGCCTTACTCACGTTTGTAAGACTTAGTGACAACACCTCCGCCCCATCCTCCTCCTCGGGTTCCTCCCAGAGCCTCCGCCGCTCGTTCTCCGATTCCACATAGGTGAACGAGTCGGGGTTAGGCCTATTCCGCTCGCTCCCTGGCCCCGTGTTTCGGCAGGTGACAACTTCGTAGTTCCCACAGGCTGGGTCACTCAAGAGCAATATCATCGTCCCATCGTGCTTATTGAAGATCAGGGTCTCCGTCCTGCACATGAACGATTTGCCCAGAAGAATAGGGTGGTCCACGTCCGACATGACGAAAAAGCACGTCCTCGCTCGCACCTTGCCAATCTCTATGATTACATTTGATGCTGTGCCGCAAAAGACTGCCTTGCAGTTAGCCCCGTGCAGCACGCCGTGATTTGCACGGTCGATCTCCATCCCAAGCATAAGTGCATCTTTTTCCCTAATGATGTTCATTTCAGCGTCCGTATCCATCATCGCCACGCACTTCTTTTCTTTCACTACTAGGTCCACCAGCCCGCATGCCGCACACTTCCAGTCCATCCTTGTCCCGACTTGTGTCCACCCCACCTCCCTTGGCAGGACTGCGCTCAAATGAACGTTGGGCACTAGCCTTCGAGACAACCACCCTTTCAATTCCTCCCGGAGTCTTGGTGCGGACCCCAAAATATCTTTTAAGTTCATAAGGTCGTTATGACCTTCAAGGAGTCGGTCCACCATCCTTTCCACGTCGAAGTCCTCCTCCAACCTGACGGTGTACTTTCTCTTCCTGGGCACACCTTCCTATAGACCTGGCTCGGCTCTCTCCTGAGCCTCCCTTCTCTGGGCTCTTTGCTTTGTCCGCCGATCCTCCTCCTGACGAAGTCTCTCATCCTCCATGTCGTCTTCCTCTTCCTCTTCTTCCTGGACCTCGACCACCTCCTTCCTATGCTCAGGCTCAGGTCTCTTCCGTGGAGGTGCCTGACTTGGCGCCTGGCTTGGCGTCTGACTAGGGTCCGCCTTACTTTGGCTCCTGGTTTGAGTTGCTTGCGGCGCCCGCCCATGCGAGGTAGGTGGCCTGAACGTCATCCTTGACCTAGGGCCCGACCCTGGCGCGGCAACCCCGGGGCTACTCTGCTGCCCGGCTGCCGGCCCCAGCCCGGTCTCATAGAAGAAGACCTTCGGGAGGTCGGCTCTCCACCCCTGGACTTCATCACATAACTCTTTTAATCTCCGCTGGTACCTCCCCATTTTTTCCATTAGATCCTCCATCTTCTCCAGGGTGGTTACGGTCGGCTCCCTCTCGCCCTCTTTCCCCTCATCATCCGATTCAACAATTATCGGCTCTTCCTTTATGGCCCCAGCTTTTAGCCGTTGCATAACCTCCTCACTATCCCCCGTAATCTCTTCGATTCTTATGGCCGGGTCTTCTCTCTCGTGCCGCATTCTGAACATGGTCGGGGCGGCCGATGGCCCTGCCGCCGCCCGCTTGAGGGCCTCGTGCCTGATTCTTCCCGGGGTCTTGGGGTCAATGTGTTCCCCTCACTTATCGTGTACATCCCCATCCATACAAGAGGAAATCAGGCCCGCAAGCTCATCATCCCCCTGTTGCTGGCAGAACCAAATCGTGTGGCCTACAACGCCACAATGCCAACAGGTCGCGTTCCGCCAGTCGAAGCGGGGTCTCTCATACCCTTGGCCCCCTTGCTGACTGCCCTAGTCACCTTGGCCCCGGCCCCCTTGGCTATTCCATCCACCGCCACGTCCCCCGCCATTTCGGCCTCGTCCGCCACCCCCTCGGCCTCCTTGTCCCCGACCACCATTGCCCTGTCCTCCTTGTCCTTGGCCTCCTCCTCCCGCCACACTAGCCTGCGATGCTTGCTGTGAGGGGGGAGGCTGGGCTGCGAATTGGCCTTGCGTCGCCGGGAAACTTGGCGGCCCCGCGCTCGTTGACGGACCCGAAAACGGAACCATATGTCCAGTATGGGCTTGACCCCCTCCACACGAGGTGCAATGACTACAGCTAGGCCAAGGCGCCGCTTGACAGTACAGTACCCAATGTCCGCAGGCTGGAGGCGGCCCCATTGGTGCCGGCCCTGCCGATACAGGCGTGGTTACGGCGGCTGTCGGCGATGCGGCAACTGCCTGGGGGACCTGCCCTTTGCCAGACCCTTGGCCACCCAGCAACAAATTGCGTTGCTTCTACTGGGCCTTGGTAAGGATTTGCGATCCCGTCTCCTCTCCGCCGTAATCCTCCTGCCCGACGCCTTCATCCCCCGCATCCTTTCTTCGGCCTTGGACCACGGCTACCACCCTTTTTTACGCCTCGGCATCCTGGCCGTAGCCTAACGCCACGAGTACATTAGTGACGATCCTCTTTACTCACGGGGTCCCTGATGCAGTAGCGTCCCTCTCCTTCCTTTTCCTTCACTCCCATCTGATGCTGCCCTACCTGGTCTAAACTCCCATCCTCCACTCCTCTGTCGATGGTGGCCCAGGTGAGCTTTGCGCTGCCTCCTCCATGACTCGTCAACTCGGCTGCCTCTGACGCAGTGAGCAATCCCAGAAAGATGGCGCACTGCCTTTCCTCAGAGATCCCGTGAACTTTCTTTGCCTTCTTCTTAAACTCTTGTACGAGGGCCCCTATCGTGGTAAAGTCGTCATTGTTCATCGCCTCAAGGTCCGAGATGGTAAGCAACCCATCACCCAACCGATACTTGCGCAGCATGCTCTCCCTAAACCTTGCCCAACTGCCATTGGCAGCATCCACGACCTTCTGCACCTCCTGATGGTGCCCATGGAGCACGTACCTCATAATGCGCTGGAATTTCACCTCGTCTGACAGTCCCGCCATCGCCTGCTCCACCAGATCTAGCCAATCTAAGACCCTTTCCCCATTGAAATGAAAGGTCTCAACCTTCGGAACGTTACTTGGGGTCTTCTCATATCGATCTAGGGCTGCGATGAGGTCCTCGAGGGTCAGGACCCTTCCGGCGCCATCCGATATGCTGCCACACTCCGACATCTTGGTAGGCCTCCTTTTCCAATTTTCTGTTAAGAGGAAACCAAAGGCACTCACCTACTTAGCATCCTACTCCAACCTGGTCTAGCCCGCATCTCCTACCTGGCCTCACCCTTGACGTGAGTATTGCCGCCCTTTACGCTTTTGCAAGGACCAGGCAGATAACCAAATACACATATACAGGTGCTAACTTCCCCTTTTTATACTTAGTCCCACATCACTCACCTTACACTTCAATCACACTTGTCACTCTCTTACGCCTATTTCTCACTCGTACCTGGATGTCGTTCCACCAGGGACAACAGTAGGCTTCCGTTATCCCCAGCAACGACGCCACTTGTCGAGCGCATCGGTCCGGCACCGCACGTGGCAGCGCGGGACCCTCTCGGCCGCGTCATGCAGTAGTTGGACCAACCTTGTCATGAACACATAAATGGAGCTTCCTTAGGCCGCTCCAGCCGAGTGCGCCAGCCATACCTCTCGCGAGCCCCTACGACTGTCACAGGATAGGGCCTACGCGAGGCACAACTTACCTCCACCTTACAGGAGTTGTCACCTCCCTTCGGTGGGCGTATCCCCGCCGAGCTACCAGTCCACAATACGAAAGCTACTTCGTTGCAATCGCAAAGTTGAACCAGCCAAGGGTGTTTCTCGTTCGCTGTAGCATAGGGGGTATGCGTGGTAATACGCCCATCGGACCCGCACGCGAACCGACATCTTGGGGGGCTGAAGTCCCAAGCGTGGCTCGTCGTCGGTCGGCTAGAACGCATCCCACTCACCACGCATACACCACTGTACGAGCTCAACAAGGGAACACACACACACACATACCCACGCAACGACACAACACAAACAACGTGACAACGCTACTAGCCCCTTAGTAGCCGTCCCATAACTTTCCGACGAGGAAATCGGATAGGCGTCTCGTGCGAGGCTTAGTATAAAATCGCGTGGATGCAGGGCTAACTCATATCGACTCGCAATGCAAGCGTACGCAAGCGGTCGCAATTGTGGCGTACTATGTAGCACCCATGCTCGCGCGGCCCTCGTTAATCTCGAGGGTCGCATTCGACACTCAAGTGTCGGCGGACACGCGCCTTGAGGGTTAATCTCTCGACGTTGGACAACTGCCATGCGCGGTTGAAGACCACACCCTCTTCTGCACCCTGTGCAGAGGGGTTGGGTAGACAACTTTAAGCTGTCGTGACGGTCAAACATCAAGGGGTTTGACTTTGACGGTTGTCACGGACTATAACGTCCAACTATGAAAGCTCAAAAAAGAAACTCACTCCAACTCTCATTAGCTTAGTGGCCTCATAGAATTGAGGAGGGTAGACAGGCCCAAACAACACGAGCGTAGAGGAGGCTCGGTATCCTACCCATAGGCTACTCGGCGTTCAGGATAATGAGGCCCGTACACGGACTCCCATAGGTCGACTGGGACTACTCCTTCGCCCACGTGCCGCTTTGCGATACCAAAACCCCGAGTCTATTGACTGTGTCGTGCTCGTGGTCTCGCCGCCAGACCCATAACCTTTTAGTGCGAGAATCGGCGGGTGCTGTGCGCACGAACTTACTATAAGATCACGCGGACGCTGGACCTACACATACCATCTCACTATGCAGCTCTATGTGAGTATCTATGATGACGACGCATTATGTGGCGCCCATACCCAAACGACCTTATTTTGAGCCATGGGGTCATTTCCGACGCTCAGGCGTTGGCTGAAGTGCGCGCTTAGGGGGGGCTAACCCCTTAGTGGGTGCAAAACCGGCCTGAGGGCCTTTCCGTCCTCTGCACCCTGAGGTGTCCCAAAGGGTGCGGGGTAAGACGACCCCTAGGGCAGGAAGGAATTTGGAGCGGTGGTGAATTGTCTGGCACATCATCAGCGACACGTTAACCCTTCCGCCCGGAACTAAGACGACCCCTAGGGCAGGAAGGAATTTGGAGCGGTGGTGAATTGTCTGGCACATCATCAGCGACACGTTAACCCTTCCGCCCGGAACTTTATCGTTCCACCAAGGTAAATCGCAATGAGGAAAAGAAACAAGTACTTTTAACGCTTATCAAAGAAAAACCTATTTAGTGTTAGGCTCGGGACTTGGGGTCGCCCTGGGTGAGGACCATCGTATTCCAAGCTCAGGGCTAACGTCCGACCAATAATTCTTCAAGAAAAGTAGCGGGGGTCATCCCCTCCCTTCTATTCACCCCAACCCTCGTTTGGGTCCCTAGTACGCGGGCACTTCAGGCCACGCTAATACCCCACGTAGGTACACATACATATATACGTATATATATGTATAGGGGAATAGATATGTGACGATCACATCTCACAATCACCATGGGACTCCTCACAGCCATATATATATGTGAGATCGCAGACAGTCCGATCCAATAACTCGAGCCACAGTACATACCTGCAATCACATCCAGGAGTCAAGCAAAAATCCACATACTACACGGAGTCAACTCCAACCAATCTCCATACTCATACTCCTTGCTTTGGCCATGCAAGCCCCAACCTCCTGCCAACCATAATTAATTACTCAGTACTTTTGTTAAATTGTCATTCAATAAAAATCCGGGTGAAATCCTTAACAAACAAAAAGATCACCAGAGCTAAAGCCTTTTAGGTTGAGTATGGGGAGTGAGTAGGAATTGAGTCGTGGACCAACGAATCGGCAACCGACCTGTTATCATTGATAACAGAAAATGATCCTCAAGGGATCAGCTGACTCTAGCCCAAATCCGGAATCAGATCGATCAAACCGGCCTGTAACACAAAATAGGTCAATGTCCAAGACTAGACCTGTAAGTTGTATAGGGAACACCCTCTATATCATCGTCTCACCCAAGCTTCAGCTAGCCAACCAGATCTAAGTCTACTTCTAGTCAGTGCCCAAGGAAAAGGTAGACCTTTGGTTGGATCTCCTCTATACAGAGTGGACTGCCTAAATCTGTCACCTGTTAGAATATAATCGAACTGCTCTAAACTAAGGAAATCTCGGCAGCGCTTCCCGTAGGAGAACTGACTTTCCAGAATTTATACGGACCTGAATATGAAAACCAAAGTAGTCTTTGATTTTTCAAATTCAAGTTTTGTCTAACTCCCTGGATTAACAAAAATTCGGAGAGCACTCCCCTTAGAAAGGGAGACTTCCTAGATTTCTACTAAGCCATATATGGCATTCAGATAAGTTGAACCTTGGAAAGTCAAACTTTGACTAACTCCTTGGATTTGTAGAAATTTCGACAGCGCTTCCCGTAGGAAAAGTGGCTTACCAAGATTTATACAAGCCCAAGCATAAGAAAAGATCTCAGAAAATGCAGAAATCGATCTAAGTAAAAAAAAAAGACTATTTCAGAAAATGCAGGAATTGAATCTAACTCCTATAGCTCTAGCACATGGCAAGCAACTACAGCAACTACCTATCAACTCAAACTCTGACTAGGTAGTGATGCCACTTAATCACATGCAGGCCAAACCACAAAGGTAAGTACTCTCACCATCCCATGTTGATTTAGCAGACAATAGTTCATAGTCTTTCAGTGATTTAACCCTTTATACCCTACTTACATAGGGCACTGGGACTGGTCATTCGTCTTAGAAACAATGTCATCCCTCTGCCTTAGTTATACACGAACAGGTTGCACAACTACTTTTCTCTTCATTGGGCATATGACTAAGTCATTCATCCTAGAAACCATGCTTAGTCACCCTGAACTTTTTAAATAGCCAAGTTATATATATTTCTATGCACCTTAGTCTTCAAAAGAAGGGCGTGGGGTTGGGTCATTCATCTTAGAAACGATGTCCAGCCTGCCCTGGTTACCTTCAGTTATAACTCTTGATTATACTTTCTTCGTTTGTGATAGGACTACAGTCAGACCATTCATCTTAGAAACAATGTCTGACTAGCCTTGTTTTCACGTATGCATATATATATATATATAATTATAAAAAATCTTATTCCTTTGTTCTCATTATAATCCTGAGGCCTCAGACTTAGACCATTCGTCTTAGAAACAATGTCTAGTCCTTTGGTTTGAATCTTCCCTCAGAATGAAACAACCAAGGAGAGATGAGTCATTCGTCTTAGAAACAATGCTCAACTCTCCCTTTCTCGGCACATATATAAAAAAACAAAGTACCCTGGGTCTAACCCAGAGACTGTTCAGAAACCACCCAAGTAAACAGCGGCCAGACCATTCATCTTAGAAACAATGTCTGACCTTCAAAAGTCAAGCAAACAATACCCCTCAGAAATAAGTAGCTTGGCCATTCATTTTAGAAACAATGCCTGACACAATTAAAGAAACACAGCAACCAAGCCATTCATCTTAGAAACAATGCTTGGTTCTTCAGAAAACAGAACAAAACACAGCAGTCAGGCCATTCATCTTAGAAAGGCAGGGCTCCCGCAATCGGTGGGGCAACCTCCCACAAAGACTTTGGCGCGGATTACGGGTTGCAATCCCACCTGCTACCTTCCTCTCCAAACCAATAGACTAGACTGAGAGTGAGAAGGCAGAAGAAGAAACATTAAGTCCCTCAGATACAAGAGGGGTGCACTCAGACTCGCATGAGAGGGCCTTGATGTCTTCAGCGCCTGAGGGCCCTGCAATGATGGCCACATGTAACAACTTGGTCAACGAACTCAAACCGCCAAGGTAACCCCCCCTCCCCCGACGAGCCTCCAACCCGCAGTAGCAAGCTCCCTCCTGACTACTCCTCTAATCCCCAACACCCTGCATCAGTCCTTATGCACAGCAGCGGTGCTCAGCGGCGGCCAATCGCCACAGCCGCAATCCCCAACAATAGCAACCCGCAATAGTCCTTAGTTGCAGCCGCATTGCTTAACGACAACCCTTAGTAACATCAGTAGTAGTCAGCAATCGTAATCCTCAGCGGTGATCACCAACGACTGCCTTCAGTGGCTCCGCAGCCATACACAAGGGGATGCATAATCCGCGGTCTGCAGCAACAGATCCTAGTGTTGGCCAACAGTCAGGCAACCATCAGCAGTAGCCACAATCCACACACAACCAATAGAAGCCTGTCGTGGTAACTTGTGCACAGCCTGCTGCAGCCGGCG